ATGCAAAATACAGCTGGGGACATCTGCTAATCTGGCAAAGTCAGCACTGATCTGGCAAAGTCAGCAGTCTCTTGACCGATACTTCACCCTTGCACAAAAACTTCTCTTTGGCATCAAAACCCGTCTTTGTTTCCCATATATGGTCAAGTCCATATCCGTTCTCCTTTCTACATGAAGACTCCGGCACTTTGTAAAACTAAAGCTATATTTTCTGAAAAGCCTATAGAACAAAATTGAGGGGTATTTGCCATCACAACTATTAGGTCCATTGATCTACAAAAATATGGGATCTGATCCTGCCTTAGTTTGAGAACCCCTGCTCTAGTACATTGATTAGTTTGAGCTCTACCCATCCTCATTCCAGGATGGTGAGACTCCATTTAGTCCTTTGCTTCTAGCAGCAAAATGTCTTGCTGGGCCTACTCTGATTGAATCCCTGCAAAAATTGTATTTCAGGCTGGGCAAAGTCAGGATGAACACTTTATATGGAAACACCCTCATTCTGTTGTGCTGCATCTAAAAAGGAGTGGGCAATGACAGTTATAATAGCTGTTGTTGGTCAGCAGTGTCAATGCAGCTCCTATGATTCCCACAACTATCCATGCTGTTTGGGTTTAGTGGAAGTTGTGGATTTCAAACAACATTTTGCTCGCTCAAATCTATGTCAGCCAATGATGCATCTATCTGATAGCTGGAAGGGGAGAATCACAATTAACAGATTAAGGTCCTTGCTGAGCCTTAGTGAAAGCAGAACTGCCTATCAGCTAGAGCATACACTATAGCAGGTATGGGAAAACCCAGGCCTGGGGGAACCAGATGTAGTCCCTTGGGATCTTTTCTCAGGCTCCCTCTTTCTCTCTCACCATCCTCTCTTTCCTTCCTTCACCTTCCTTCCTTCCTTCCTCTCCCTCCTTCTCTCTTTCCCTTCCTTTTCCTTTTTTTTCCTTCCTTCTCTCCTTCTCCTTCCTCTCTCCCTCTTCTCTCCCTCCTTCCTCCTTTCCTCTCCTTCTCTTCCTCTCCCTCCTTCCTTTCTTCTCTCCTCCTTTTTCTTTCTTTTTTCTCTTTCTTTCCTCTTCCTTATCCTCTTTCTCCCCTTTTTTTCCTTCTCTCCTTCTTCCTTCCCTCCTTCCCTCTTTCTCCTTTTTCTTCCTTCCTTTGCTTTCCTTCTTCTCCTTTCCCTCCTTCTCCCTCCCTCCTTCTTTCCTCCCTCTTCCTCCTTTCTTCCTTTTTTCCTCCTGGGGGATGTTTAGCTGAGAGAAGGTAGAGAGGGAATATGAGAACCATGTTTCAAGATTTAAAAGGGTGTCCCATTGAGAAGGAGGAGAGAAATTGTCTTTCTGCTGCTCTAGAGACAAGGGAGCAATTGTTTCAAATGGCAGGGAAAGAGATTCGACTGAAAAGGATTAGGAAGAACTTTCCGAGAGTAAGAGCTGTTGGAGAGTGGCGTAAGCTGCCAGGGAGTGTGGTGGAATCTCCTTCTCTGGAGGCTTTTCCACAGAGGCTGTCTATTGGGAGTGCTTTGATTATGCCTTCCTGCATGGAAGGGGGTTGGATTGGATGGCCCTTGGGGGTCTCTTCCAGCTCTAAGATCAGGAGAAAGCAATACGAGGTCTAATGTTTACACTTTTTCTCTCCCATCCACCATCTCATCCTAACCAAAGCTAATCCTTTGGGATCCAAAAGAGAAGAGGAAGGGAAGGAAAGGGCAGGGAGAGGACTTGGGGGAACCCCCCCCCCCCGCCTGTCCACCCTGCTTCAGCCCATCATGCGGCCCCCAAGTTTAAAAGTTTGCCCATGCTTGAACTACAGCCCCAGTATTTTGAACCTTATCATGGTGAATGCCCAAAATAAAATGTAGTGCAACACTGTGCAATTCAAGGCCAAAACAGGAAACAGGGACGGACTGATAGGGCGTCTACAGTATTCTGCCCTTCTTCGGTAATTGCTACATATTCATTTCTCCACAGAAGCACAGAACTAATGAAGAAGCAGTCATCTCTCTGGAAAATTGACGTGCTGAAGGTATGCAGGATATAGGTTGCTAGGTTTTGTCACTTTGGGCATATGTGGTGGTTTCTGGTGCAAAGAGTTGGTGGCATTCAGGACAGCATGGATACATGCTTTG